TCAATTTATAAATCAATTACATAATATAAAAATTTATTATGAAACTAGACTTCTCAAATTTCATTTTTTATTTAGAAGTTACCAAATTTGGTTTAATATAGGATTTTTAATGATTTTTCAAACACGTAGTAAAATCTGTGTACAGTTTCAGATTTAATTAAAGTTTTGTATAAATTCGTACAAAACTAGAATAATTGTTACAAAAATTTCTAGATGAACTAGACATCATTCCTAATAACTTTGTAGAATAAATTATCTCAAAATGTTGAGTATAAAATTGTCTAAAAATTCATACAATTTTCTGGCAGATTTAAAAATCATATAATCAAATCAAATAAAATCTTCAATCATCTTTTTGATGGCACAAACTATAAATGCAAGCCTACTTTCAAAATTATATCATGATTTTTTAGGCTACTTATATAAAAATAACCTTCAAATATTTGATATACAAATCACAAAATTTACATACAACTAAAAATAAAATTCTATCTACAATTTTAGTCATTTTATTATATAAACACAAATCTGAAAATTTCAACAAATAAAAAAAATGAGAGAGTTGAGAGGATTTTCTTACCTAGTAATAAGATTGAAATAGGATGATGAAATGGTAGGGAAAAAAATTATAAATTTCATTGATCTTCTACTTTTCTTCTTTTTACTTAGCTTGCTCACAAATTTTTTTATTTTTTATTTTTTTTCCTTTTCTCTTCTCCGATCAGAGAAGAATGCAAGCATGTGTGTACATATGGATCTCTCTCTCTCTCTCTCTCATCATTCTAATAGATCCCATGAGATCTTCCAACTTCAAGATGTATAATGAGCATATTCCCTATTATTACATGCATGCATACAAGTGTTGGGTGATTAATCACCCACACTGCCACCGAATTTCTGATTTTTTTTAAATTGTGTATTTGTGTGGGTTTCTTAAAATTAATTAACTAAGGTTTTCAACTAAGGCATTTAGTAAGGATAATTATTATGTTGAATTATTGTTAAAATAAATTATAAACAAAATATATTGAATACTGACAAAATTATTATTTTTAACAATGTTTTTGTTAGTGACTGAATTAGATTAATTTAAAACTAACTTATACACTGATATATATTTTAGATACACTCTGGATAAAATTTATTTATTTATTAATTAATTAATTTATTTACTTATTTTCTTCTAAGAATAATTAAATATCGGTTCTCATAACCTGCTTCTCTAAAAGAAAAATTTCATCATCGAAATTAATTTGTACCTTTAGATTTGAAAAGTTCAGGGTAGTTGACAAGTGTCATATCTTCTCGTTCCCACGTTGACTCTTTCATCCCACGATGTCTCCAGAGAACTTGAACCAATGGTATAATTTTATCTCTTAAATTCTTCTTGCAACGATTTAAAATTTCGACAGGTTTTTCCTCAAATGTCACATCTTCATCAACATTAATTTCCTCCATGCTAATGACGTGAGAAGGGTGTGGCTCGTATTTCTGTAACATAGAGATGTGAAAAACATTATGTACCCTAACCAGTTGAGGTGGTAGAGCCAAACGATATGCCATCTCTCCTACTTTATCCAAAATTTCGAAAGGCCCAATAAAGCGAGGTGATAGATTTCTCTTCTTTCCAAAACAAACAACTCCTCAACGAGGTTGTATTTTTAGGAACACATGATCTCCAACTTGAATTGCTAAAGGTTTTCTCCTTTGATCTGCATAACTTTTCTACCTACTCTGAGCAGTCTCAAGTCTTTGCCTAATTGAACTAATTTTGGCCCTAAAAGGAGTGCTTCTCCAACTTCCGTCCAACATATTGGTGATCGACAAGGCCATCCATACAAAGCCTCATACAATGTCATACCAATACTTGCTTGAAAACTATTATTGTAAGAGAATTCAATTAGTGGTAAGTGTCTCTCCTAACTACCCTTGAAATCCATCACACAAGCTCGAGGCATGTCTACCAAAGTCTGAATTGTTCTTTATGATTGACCATCAGTTACTAAAACACAACTCTGTACCCATAACTTTTTGCGACTTTGCCAAAATTGTGACGTAAAATGAGGGTCACAATTTGACACTATTAAGACTGGTACTCCATGCAACCTAATGGTTCCTCGAATAAATAATCGACTTAATGATTCGAGTGTATCTACTGGTCCTATTGGTAGGAAATGTACCGTCTTAGTTAACTGATCAACCACAACCCAAATGGCATCATGGCCTTGCAGCGACCAGGATAGTCGTTACAAAATCTATTGTTATGTGTTTCCATTTCTATTCAGGTATTGGTAAAGGTTGGAGTTTTCCTGCCAGCTTCTGATGTTCTGCCTTCACTTGTTGACACGTTAAGCACTTTGATATGAATTGAGCAACGTCCTTCTTCATTCCGCTCCACCAATACTGTCTCTTGAGATTTTGGTACATCTTGTTTCCTCCCGAATGAACCGCAAAAATTGAATAGTGAAATTCTTTAAGTACTTATTCTCTCAATTGTTCGAGATTTGGCACAAAAATTCTACCTAGATACCTTAAACTACGATCTTGATAGAATGTCCAATCAGGTGAAGATTCTCTTGACACTAATCGTGCCTTAATGAAGTCGGTCTCTTGATCAAATCTTTGAGCTTCTAGCACTTTGGTAAGAAGTTGGGGTGTTATAACTATTGCAAACAACTTAACCTTTCCACTTTGAGTTTCTGGTTGTAACCTCAACTTATTCACAGTACTTACCATTTTCCATTCTTTAATTGATATGTTGGCTACGATCTCTCTTGTCTTTTGACTTAGTGCATCTGCTACAACATTAGCCATCTCGGGATGATAAGACAAAGTAAATTGGTAATCTTCATGGTACTCCATCCAACGTCTCTGCCTCATGTTCAAATCTCTTTGTGTGAACAAGTATTTCAAGTTTTTGTGATTGGTAAATATCTCGAACTTTTCGTCGTAGAGGTAATGTCACCAAGCCTTAAGTGCATAGACTACAGCTGCCAATTCTAGATCATGGGTAGGGTAATTTTTCTCATGATTTTTCAATTGTCTTGATCCATAAGTCAGTACCTTCTCATTTTGCATTAACATGCTGCCTAACCCTTCTTTAGAGGCATCACAATAAATTGTGTATCCAATGTCACCTTCATGTATGATTAGTATAAGAGTGCTTGTTAGTCTCTTCTTAAGTTCTTGAAATGATTGCTCATAAGTTTCATTCCATTCAAGCTTTACCCCTTTTTGTGTTAGGCGTGTCATCGGCTTGGCTAATTTAGAGAAATCTTGAATGAATCTCCTATAATAACCTGCTAATCTTAAGAAACTACGAACCTCAAATGTATTCTTAGGTTATTTCCATTCCATTACTACTTCTACTTTAGCAGGATCCACTGATATTCCCCGATTCATACATAGCATGACCTAAGAATTTTACTTCCTTCAACCAAAATTCACATTTGCTAGCTTTAGCATACAATTGGTTCTCTCATAGAATTTGCAAAACGACTCTCAGATACTGCTCGTGATATTTCTCCAATCGTGAGTATATCAAAATATCATCAATGAATACTACCACAAATTGGTCTAAATATGGTGTAAAAATTTTGTTCATTAAACTCAGGAATATCCCAGACGCATTCGTCAAACCAAATGGCATTACCACAAATTCATAGTGGCTACAACGGGTTCGGAACGCAGTCTTTGGTATATCTTTTTCTTTGACACGAAGTTAGTGATATCCAGACCAACGGTCAATTATGGAAAACCATTAATTGATTGAACAAGTCATTAAATCTTGGTAATGGATATCGATTTTTAATAGTGGCTCGATTTAGTTGTTGGTAATCGATGCATAATCTCCAAGTTCCATCCTTCTTCTTTGCGAATAATGCTGGCGTTCCCCATGGAGACGTGTTTGGTCTAATGAATTTTTTATCCAACAATTCTTGCAATTGCTCCTTTAGTTCCCAAAGTTCAGCTGGCGCCACACGATGTGGTGTCATAGAAATTGGTGAAGTCCCAGGTTGGAGCTTGATCGTAAAATCTACATTCCATTTTGGAGGTAATCTCGATAATTCGTTAGAGAAAACGTCAGTGTACTCCACACCACATGGGGTAATCCTGGATCCTTTCGATTTTTGTCTTCCAAAATTAGGCTTGCCAACTATCCAATTCGTGACTTGTGACACATTGGAGTTAAAGAATCTTGTCTATCTCATTTCAATTGAAATTTTGTGCCATTAAGGGAGGATGTTGTCACCAGTTTTACGGTAATAGTTGATAATAGCTCGATGAACTGATAACCAATCCATTCTTAGAATGATGTCAAAATCAGACATTTCCATAACTCTTAGATCACAGATCAAATATGAACCGGAGATTTCTAGTTCACAAGATTTACATACTAGATTTACTCGGGTTTGATCACCTAAGGGTGAAGCAACATTCATAGCTATCTCTAACGTTTCTGGCTTAAAACCCAGACTTGATACACATGCAATGGATATAAAAGAATGCGAAACTCTAGAGTCAAACAATACTTTAACCCAAGAATTCATGAGGATTAACATACCTTGAATTATTGATGGGTTACCAACATCTTCTTCCTCTAGAAGAGCGTACATCATTCCTATTGCTTGTTGGTTAGTCCCTCCTGGTTTCTTTCTATCTCTAGCTCCTTGTGGTTGTGTTCTTGGCCGACTAGCATTCCTAGAGGCTTGTGGCTGCCCCTTGTTAGTCTGGGTAGTTTCAGTGGGTTTAGAACCTTGTACTGGCTAGCATTTGTTGTATTGTTGTGCCCCTCGTTGATCCATAAAGTATTCCCCATCTTGAGGACACTCACTTCGACGATGCCTCTGTTGACCAGATCTGAAACACTTTCCTTTCTACTCATTTATGGAGTTTCTTCCTTGCTGGTTTCCTCGATTTTGCCTTTATTGCTACTGCAACCCTCCGACATAAGTTGCTGGTGCAGGATAGTTTCTGGTGTTTCGAACTGGACCTCCTCCTCATGATTGGTTATTGTTCCTTGATTGCTGATTTTGAATGCGTTTGGAATCCGCTAATTCACATTCTACAAATAAAGCTCGATCCACCATTTGAGCATAGGTGGAAAGTTGTACTATGATCAATCTTCCTCTAATATCTGTGTCCAAACCCCATTCAAATCTTCTAACCTTATCCTTTTCATTTGCTACTATTGCTGAAACATACTTTGAGAGAGCCTCAAAACGGTTTGCATATTGAGTAACTGGCATTTTTCCTTGTTTCAGTTGGAGGAACTCTTGAACCATTTCTTGTCTTAGTGAGTTAGGAAAATATTTTTCCATAAATAGGTCTTTAAATTGCCTCCAAGTCAATGTTTTCACTTGTCGGGTACTCCTGATCATTTTCCACCAATGATTTGCTTCTCCTTCCATTTGAAACACCGCCATGGTCACCATATCTTGCTCATTTTGGATGTCAGAAGTGTCTAGTAACTTCTTAATTTGTCTTAACCAAGATTCAACTTCATAGGGGTTAGATCCACAAAGGAATTTGTAGGGATGTAGTTTTTCAAACTTTGCTATCATTTCAGATTTGCTTTGATCTTGATTTTGAGATGGTATATTGCCTACTCTATCGGCAATTGCGCATATAATCCGAGCGACATCGCCAGCAGACACTCTATCACCATTACTGTTGTTATTATTTCTTGTTCGTCCAGCCATTCGGCATGATAGAATTTTTGGTAATTTGTGACTTATGTATTTATCATCATCATCATCATCATCATCATCATCATCATCATCATTATATATATATATATATGCAAAGACAATAATTAAAGATTACACAAAAGAAAACTTCATTCATTAGATGAGACAAGTCACAAAACAACAAAATAAAAATAAAAATAAAATACTACAGGCTAATACTGTAACGCCCTGCCTTTTTATTACTCGGATTCCATTACCAAACCATTATTATAGATTCAATTTCAAAGATGACATACAAAAACTCTTTATATTTACAAGAACACATGAATAAAGATTCTCTCATCCGAATATAATATGAATGCAATAAGAGTTGCATTTAAATAAACTACCCGTAGGCTTACATCTTTTAAACTAAGAGGAAATGTTTAACCCTTTTATATCAATGGCATTCTGCCCACATGTAAAAGGCCCCGTGGCCAATAAGTAAAGAAGATCCATGACCTTGAAACACTCCTCGACGTTCACCTAAAAAAGGATTAGCAATGTGAGATGAACATAAAATCCAATAGGGATCTCAACATGATCCTAAACAATAACAACTTACAGATAGTTATGATGCTTAGTCTCATACTATAATAATAATGTGACGGTTTATACAAAAATATACGTATATAAGAACTTTTCTCAAAATCATTCATTTCATTCAATAATGTAAGTAATTCACTTTTCTTTCTTCTTATTACCTTTTTCCAAAATTCATATGACAATAACAAATTCTAGAAAACAATTTCACTAAGTCCATTACGTTTTCTCTCACTTTCCGGACTTGCACGTGATTTTCCCTTTTGAAAACATGTTCACAAGTATCCTATATCCTTCACATTTTTCACAATCTCAATATAGTATTTATGTCCATTTCCAACACATTCATATCTATACATGCATACATTTAGTACAAAAGGAAACAACAAGCAACCAACAAGTATCTAATCAACAAATGAGGCAACTCGGCCTTTCAAAACTGTAGCCATCATAATCCATAACATACCCAGATCCACTGAGACAATAATGATAAATAAGTTCTGCTCTACCTGCCTTAAGCACGGTAAGCCAAGGATACCCCTTTCCACAATGAAATGCCAATTTACCAGACACTGGTTGGAAGGTAATGGTACCTTTGCCAAGTTCTCCAGGTGCTAGCTGGAAGGTACGGGTGCCTCTCATTTTAAGCGCGGCCAATTCTCCAGGCGCTAGCTGGGAGGTAATGGTACCTCTTATTCTCAGCGCAATATACGTTACAAATCATTGTAACATGACAAAGTACAACTAACAAGTGTAATGCATACACATAAACTATTCAACCAATTACAACCAACACAAGTGTAATGCATACACAACAATTTCAACACAACAATGTCATCCTCTACCGATGACCAAGGACAAAACTTCTAAATGTATGTATTCAACACATGTATTATAATAATTCAACTCTCATGAGATTTTAAATCCAACAACAACAATAGTAAGATAACTAAGGACAAAACTTCCAAATATATGTATTCAACATACGTATTATAATAATTCAACTCTTATGAGATTTTAAATCCAACAACAACAATAGTAAGATAACTAAGGACAAAACCTCCAAATGTATGTATTCAACACATGTATTATAATAATTCAACTCTCATGAGATTTTAAATCCAACCTCAAGTTAATTTATGAAATTCACATAGTGTCATCATTTCATTCTTCCATTTCAAAAATCAATTCTCTTATTTTCCAAGTTAACATACTCCACCCTTTATCCCAATCCATTCTTTTTATTTCACAAAACTAATTCCATAGATATCAAAGCCATAACCCAACTTAATTTAATATGTTCAATCCAAAATAATTCCAATGCCATAGTTAATTCTCCCTTTTAGCTATTAACACATTTACACAACCCATAATAACAATTTACAAACATTATTCAACTATACCCATTTTTAATTCACCAAGTTAAAACATTAAATTAGGACTTTTTCTTCTTTCAACATAAACATGTTAGATTACTCCCCAATTAACCCAAACAACAATCAATTTAACAATCTCATTCCCAAACAACAAACCCTAGGTTCCCTTTCATGACTTTCAAAGAAATCCATAATGGATATGATTTTTATGCAATACAAATCTACCACATATCTATCTATAGATGAAGTATTGAAAAGGAACAAGGAAATCCCTACCTCAAGATTTGAAACTCAAGATTTGAAGCTAAAAATGAAGACCCAACTTGAAATTCCAATGAAATCGCAAAACAATCGGTAGAAGTCTTGATCTATGCTTGCTCTTCAACATTCTTGAAAGATTTGGGGTGAATCTTGTGTAAATAGAAGAGAAATCAGGAGTTTGGAAAGTTAGGGTTTTGTTTTGGAGGATGGGAGGAGAAGAGAGGGAGAAAAAATAGAGTTTTAGGGCCAAAAAGTCACTTTATAATGTCTGTTAGCGATGTGGCCGCTCGAGCGAAGGAAGCTTGGCTCGAGCATACAAAAGAAGCTCTCAGAATTTCTGAAACTTGCATAGTTCGCTTGAGCGAAGAAAAGCTCGCTTGAGTGAGCATGCTTCCAGCATAGAAACGCAAAATTCAAATAGGTATAACTCTCTCGTCCGGATTCCGTTTAGGGTCGTTCTTGTGTCCAAATTGAAGTCCCGGAAGTAAGATTTCCAATGGTTTAGCCTCACATCAAGATTCAAAGTATGGATCGAGAAAATGATGAAAGAGTGAAAACTACTCAATAACAATTATTCAAAATTGGAGTTTCTGATTCAATCTCACCCAACCACTGTGGTAACACCTTAACCAAGGCTTAAATAACAACTAAGAAGGTTCTCAATCAAGATAATCAAAGGGTCAAATATAGTTCCATTATAATAGGAAGCACAGAGTGCTACAAATACAAGACAAAAGGTAGCCCTTACAAGTCAAGGTTAATACAGATATTAGTTAGAGTTACTTATACTGATAACTTTAAGCTAGGCAATTTTGACATTGTAAGCTTACAAAACAATTAGTTAGCCTAGTCTGTAACTCCTTTAAGACCTCTAACCTAGAAATCAAATAGCTATGGGTAGTCCTTCCACACAAGGACTTCTTACTCCCACATGGCTTGGAAAAGCCCCCATGAATCGCCACAAAACCCTCACAAAAACAACAGTTTCATGCCCAAAATGTCCTAACAATTGCACCGGTTCCTCCTAATAAATTCTCTAATCTTTGAAATCCATTGATCCATCGGTCTTCACAATTCGGTTTGGATTGGGCATGACATACTAAAGGCTCCAAATATCAAAAATGTTGCATGTTCTATAGGTAAAGCCATCCGAGAAAGGGCCTAATTGATATAACCAAGGATTTTCTTGTCTCAAAATCTGGACAAGTTCAATGTAAGTACCTACCCAACTTTCGGATTTCCAAGCACAACTTCCTAATGGATAGATTCTAACATACACATATGAGCCAATTTGCAGCCCATTTTGAACATCTCAATTTTCAAATACAACCCCTACATCTCCAATACTTTCGTTAGTATTACCCTCTAGGGGTTTCTCCTCAATATCAAACTCAATCACAATCACAATCACAATCACAATCACCTCCATTGGGTCATACATAGGCGCATTTTGTTCGGGTTCAGACTCAGGCTCATAGTCTTCTATTGGTGACTCCGCTTCTTCACTCGAGTCAGACTCTATTTCATAATTTCCACCGAGTCCTCTTCATGAGAGTTAATATCCGATGATCCTGACATCCTACAATTAAAAAGGTTCTAACTTAGTTATGTCACGGAAAATTACAAGGCAACTTAAGGTTTTCTTAAACGTAAAATATATATATATATATATAATTGCTACCCATGGCCCAATGGTTCGAATCTAAGCTTTGAGAAAATTACAAGGCAATTTGTGACGCCCAAATTTTTTTTTTTGGAACATCATACAAGTTAAACAACAAAGAAATTTATTAAATAAAAATTTAACATCTTAATAAGAACACTTCAATTCCCACACAACCAAAAGTTTAAACAACAAATTTTTTTTTTTTATTAAAAGTTCAAATACAACATTAAACAACATTATAACAACCTTAATCATTAATATATAAGATAGTAAAATTTTATTTTGCTAAAGTCATGGCTTCAAGTTAGCCAAGGCTCTATATTAGCATCAACTCCAATTTCAGCTTCCGTTCCTTCCTCGGTCAAAATTTGGCATAAAACGTCAGGGTAACAAAAATATATGCCATGAGTTTTGCAACACAATAAGAAAACATAACAAACCTACCATTCTTCTTAAAAGAAAATAATCATATTAACAATCATGATAATTAAGAGAAAATAATGAAACCAATAGCATGACAATACAACAACCATTAAATTAATTTTAACAATTTTAATAATTTAGGTGACACTCAAAATCTCACTAAGAAAAAATCTTACCAACCACTAAGCTATGGTCACGGTTAATATGAAAATCTCTCCTTGGTCAAATATTCAAGTACTACCACGGATATCTACACCTAGAGTTATATATCCAAGTCGTGGCATCTGTGGTCTACCCCAAAGAATGGTTTGCCAGGGATACGAAACCTCCCTGCGTGCCATCTGTACATCCACCCTCATCCCAAAACCAAATATCAATAAGGGTTCAAATAAGTCTCGTGCCATCTTAGGGTTTTGTGATACAATTATGTAAAAATTCTCAAAAACCAAGGCTCGCCCTGAACTACCAGTATTACCTGTTAATCGTTAATTTTGCACATGACATTAATCATTTTAGTTAGTTTTTATATTAATCATAAATAATTACAAATTTCAATCACCATAAGTGTTATACCATTTCATTAAAATTCCCAATATAAAATATTACACATATGTTATACAATAATCAGGCAATGTACAAAATTATAATGTACAAAATTATAATAAACAATTAAATTAAATCATGGTATGAAATGATTATTTTAG